TGACTTGGATTTATGAATAATGTTTGGTGAATTAAAAATGAAAAAAAAAATGCTTGGTGTTTGAGGTGTTACATGTATGTATATGAATGTATGTATGTTTGGTGTGTATGTGGTATATGAATATGAAATTTGTGTATTTAGTATAAGTAGGATGTTATTATCTATATATGTGAAAGTATATGTGTATCTCGTATAAGTAGGATGTTATTATGTATGTATTTGTATTTGGTGTATATACTGTATATGTAAGTGAAAGTATGTGTATTTGTGTAAGTAGTATATGTATCCATATATGTGAAAGTATATATGTATCTCGTCTAAGTAGGATGTTATTATGGATGTATTTGAATTTATGTGTACTTGGTGTATATGTTGTATATGTATGTGAAAGTATGTGTATTTGATGATCTTATGTTTGATGTGAAAGTATGTGGTTTTGGTATAAGTAGGATACTATAAATGGAAAGAATACAAAAATAAAATGTTATAAATTTATTTAAGATACGATGTTATAATTGAATATATATATATATATAATATATATATATATATATATATATATATATATATATATATATATATATATGATGGAAAAAAGCAAATCCCTCAACATATATCAAATTATTAATTTTGATTTATTTAATATAAATGTTTTTTTATAAACGTGTGGAAAAAATCGTTGGATCTTTGACCTTTTTATTTAATACTTACAAATTTTGCGTATATGAATTACAAGTAATTGTAATTAAAATTAATTATAAAAATAACATAAATAAAAAATTTTAACCTTTTTTTTTAAATTGTGATATCTTCTTTTTTTAGTCACATGTGTATTTTTAAAACAAAAGTTAGAAATCATTATATTTTATGACTTTTTTAGTTTTTAAATTTTTTATTAACAACATATTTATACCGATATAAATAAATAAAAAATATATTCTTTAATCTCGATGGTAAAAAAGAATAACATAATAACTTTATTTTTATCGTGTGTGTGTCTATATATATATATATATATATATATATATATATATATATATATATAATTGTTTATAGTACAATGCTATAATTGGAAAAACTCCTATATAAAGGTACAATAGTAAGATGCATGTCTTCAAAAATATAAAGTAAACCACTACAATAGAAAATAACAACACGTTGATTTGGTAATTTTGTTTTGTGGTGATTATTTACTAAAAGTTTTGTTAAATGTATTTTTGTCCCAAGTGCAAAAAATAACAATGTATTTTGGTTTTTTATCTCTAGTTTAAGAATAACAATATACTTTGGCATCATAGAATACATGTTGATTTGGTAATTTTGGTTTGTGGTGATTAGTTGGTAAAAAAAATTGTTAATTGTGGTTGTGTCCCAAATGCAAGAAATAACAATGTACTTTGGGTTTTTTCTCTAGTTTAAAAATAGAAATGTACTTTATCATTCCTGTTTGCTAGCAAAGTGTCGCCGTTATTGCCTTTACCGGCAGCGACAATCTAATCAATAGTAACAGAGTAGTAGCGGCTATTTTTTACTAGCGACGTGTCGCCACTATTGTCTTTATCAGCGATTAGCATACTCTTTACTGTAAACCGATTGTATTTGGGGTAGGATCACATATATGATCGAGATCTGATATGATTCTACCTTCCCTTGATTATTTTTTCAAATGAATTTTTTTTACCACTTTATGTCGTATACCCTTTACCCATTTACCGTTTATCATTGTATGTTGTGAATTATGACTAATATTATGAAGTATTTCTAACTTTTGAACAAAAAATGTAATGTTTGAAATATTTTTCATGTTTTAAAATTATAAACTAGAATTATATTTTATTTTGTCGGATCGTAGGATCCCGATCGTATTCTTACGATCCCGATCTTGCAAACCTAAAAACAATCTTATGTAAGACCCCGATCTTTTCAACCTTGCATCTTGTCATTATGATCGGTTTCTTCAGGTTTTTCTCACTACATCCTATGTGGGATGGTCATTAATTATGTGTTTTCATGTATTGGCTCGTCCCTCTCATATATGAATAAGTTATTTCTTGAATATCTCAAATAAGGTTGACACGTTAGTTTTATGGAAGCAGAAGATGTCTTCGGTTTCAATTTCATCTATCCATAACAGACAACGAGATTATTTATGATTGCTTCCTCCCAAATCGAATTTGTACTTACAAAACAAAATAATTAAGAAATACACTAAAAGAATTTGCAATTATAAGACGAAAGAAACTCTGGCAAAATGTTTCATCTATCTACATAACATACAACAAGATTTTCTTGTGATTGCTTCCTTCCAATTCGAACTTTCACTTCCCTGACAAAGAATCTTGTTCTCTACTATGGAGATAGATAAAACTAAAGCCAAATATATCTTCTACTTAGAGAAAATTAAGACATCAAAATTATTTGATTGATATGTGAATTAGGTTACTGATATAAATGAAAGACGATTCACGTATGAGAACATCTCATTCATGATTGTTCCATACATGATGTTGTGAGAAAAAATATAAGAAACTAGACATAAGGACTAAATATGTATAAAAAATGAAAGATGAAATATATACAAACTAAAACCTATATTACCGTATTAAATCGTTTTTTTTTCTTAATCTGTAGCAGCCGTTAGTGATGAATGAATATAAACAAAAAAAAGTCAAAACATATACAAAATGAAAGATATATTACGATATTAAATCATTATCCTTTAAATTTGGGTCAACTTAATTTGAAAGTATTACATTCAAAATAATGATAACTTTTGGTTCTTTTATATATATATATATATATATATATATATATATATATATATATATATATATATATATATATATATATATATATATATTATACACCAACTTATTATCAAAATACTTTTAGGTTATTATATTTTGAAATCCAAAAAGTACGTGATAAGTTAGTTTTTAAAAAACTATTAAAAATAGAATTTTAATTAGCTTATACAACTTTTTTTAATCTCATAAATATAACATTTATTAATTATAATAAACGTATTTGTGTACATGATCTTATATGTCATTTTACACTTGTTAGTTTATCAACTAATTTTTTACACTTGTCATTTTACACTTGTTAGTTAACTTATAAGATATCTGTTAGTTTTTCATATATCAACTAAGTTTCACCTGTCAATTAGTTTTTCAATTATTTTACCAAACATAGCTTTAGTTTAAAACAAATTGTGCTTAATGTTTGATCTTTCACTTTCAGCTAGCTATTAATTAGTTTTTCAATTATTTTGATAGAACATTTAGTTTAAAGCAAATTGTACTAAGTGTTTGATCTTTCATATAATATATATAGCTTGCGTGGTTCATATAATATAATATATATATATATATATATATATATATATATATATATATATATATATATATATATATATATATATATATATATATATGAAAGATCACTTAGCACAATTTGCTTTAAACTAAATGTTCTGCAAAAATAATTGAAAGAAATAATATATATATATATATATATATATATATATATATATATATATATATATATATATATATATATATATATATATATATATATATATATATATTTGCATGGTGCTACCTAGTTTTATGGTTTCTCAATATTTTGATGTTCTATGTGTTTTTTATATTTACAGCCTCAGTTATATTTAATATCATGGCGTCATTAAAAAAAATAAAGGATTTAAAAAATAAAATTAAACTGTTTTAGAAACACATAAGATATGGGTTTGTTTTAGCTCAAATCGACTTAAAGTTAAAGCATGATTTCTTGTAATATTGAGTCATTCCGAGCATATACTGCTTTTTAAAATAGTTTGTGTTTGGTTTTAGACTAATATTTATTGCATTACTAACGTAGGGTGTTTTATGCCCTACCATTCGTTAGATGAAATATTTTCATGTTTAAAGGTTTTTTTTCTATGTTTATTTGTATCTTCTTTTGTATTTTAAACATACCCTAGCGTGTGTATATATATATATATATATATATATATATATATATATATATATATATATATATTTGAAAGAGTTGGCTTTGGTTTTAGACTAATATTTAATGCATTACTAACGTAGGATGTTTTATGCCCTACCATTTGTTAGATGAAATAATACCCCTAGTGTGTATATATATATATATATATATATATATATATATATATATATATATATATATATATATATATATATATATATATATATATATATATATATATATATATATATATATATATATATATATATATATATATATATATATATAAATGAGTAGGATCAAATGAGAACACACAAAAGTTTGAGAATGCGAGAACATATCTAGATCATCTAACTTTTAAGATGTGTGGTTATAATTAATTGTTATTTTTTTAATTATTAATACATTTAAATTTTAATTTTTAAATTAAAGAAAATTAAAATAGGGTATTAAGGTAAATAAACGTTACCCTAGTTTTGTAAACCCCTATAATTACTCTTATAATTACTCTTGCGTCTCTATTTGGTTACCCTAATTTCCTACGACATACAATCAACACCTAAAAGGCGTCACTTGACGGGACCGGAGAAAACAAAGAATCGAAAGCAACAAGATCGATGAAAGACGTAGGAAGGAAGTGAAGGCAATCGGCGACATATGTGTTCGGCCGTCGTGATGGTGAGGGGAGCATCTACAGGGTCAACGAGGCTGAAGAGGAGCAAAGGAGTTCCCTTTTTCATCTTATGATCAGAATTCCGTTAAAACCATGTCAATCGATCGTCACAATCATAATCTGTATCTCGACATCATTCATGGCAATTGTAACTGGTTCTGATCCCAATTCAATTATCGGCGTGGGAATCAACTGGGGTACCATGACCAACCACCAGTTGTCAGCTAATAAGGTGGTGGAAATAATGAGAGAGAATGGGTGCAAGAAGGTGAAGCTCTTTGAAGCAGAAAAAAAGATGATGGAAGCGCTAATTGGATGAGAGATTGAGGTGATGGTAGCAATCCCTAATTTCATGTTGTTGGATATGAGTCAAGATCCAAGCTATGCTGATTATTGGGTTGATGCTAATATTACTACTTATGCTTATCCTGGTGGTGTTGATATCAAGTAAGCAACAACAATTTTGTGGTTTCTCTTGTTGAAATAATTCCAATTTGGTGTTGAAACACCTTCAATTTCATGATTACAGTTCGTTTTTTCGCGCTCTAGTTCTTCCTGACTGTTTGCTGGTGTAAATGTTTAGTTTTTTCATTCGAGGGTAAGTTCGTAATTTCACGTTGATTCTTTCGTTAATTTCAGGTATGTTGCAGTCGGAAACGAGCCATTCCTCAAAGCATACAATGCTACGTATCTCCAAATCACATTACCGACGTTAAAAAATGTCCAAAATGCCCTTACCCGGGCTGGTTTCGGGAACCTGATCGGTTTTTACATTGCAATATCTACAAAAAGCTAATCGTTTTTTTAACTTAGAACCAATTCCTAGCCATGCTTTGAAATAATATCAGGTGATATGGAAATGCCTGAATATGATTTTCTTCGAATTTGAATGTTTTTGAAGTATTCCATTTTATGATTAATCATTTTCTTTTCATTTCTTCTCAGTTGTTTCTTAATTGATATAAAGATTTAGGGGAATCAAACAATTTTAGAACCAAAAGTAATTTACAATATGATATCAATTTATGATTAGAAGTTTATTCATTTTTTGCTAATCATATATATATATATATATATATATATATATATATATATATATATATATTCACGTATGAATATAATTACATGTATAGGAATTCATATGTATTTTTTTTGTTCATGTCTCATATTAATTTATGATTAGATGTGTATTCATATGTGATATATTAATGTATGAATATAATTACAATTATAGGAATTCATATGTATTTTTTATTTTTTTCATGTATCTTCATTTATAATTTTACATCTTGACATCATCTGTGTTTTTCTAAATCTTTTTCATTTAATTGATTGTTAATTGTATTTATTTCTTTATTCAACAGTGTGTAGAGGAAATCGAGATACATCTACAAACGGGATGTTGGAGTGCTAATATATAACCAAACAATACAAAGTGGCAATGATATCGTCTTATTCATTTATGATTATATAATATTAGTTAATTGTTTTTATTCAAATTTTTGTTTATGCTGTATTCATATGTGATTATAGAAAACTAAATATGTATTACATTGTAACTTTTTCTGTTACTTTTATTTATGAATAGATGTATAATCTAGATATATATTTGATATGTTTTTATTTATTTATGATTAAAGTTGTATTGTAATTTTTCTATATAAATTGTGTTATATTTGTTTATTATTACAACTTAATTCGTCTATTCATTCACGATTACAACGGATTCATATATTATTACAAATATGTTTTATTTTTGTATGATTACACATATTCGGTTGAAATGATAAATTCATAAATTTTTTTGATATACTGGTAAAAAAGTTTATAAAAAAACGTTTTTTAATCATGGTAATTTTATTTAATAATCTATTTGAAAATAAATAGATTAAATTCATTTATAATATTTAGGTAAAAAATCAATTAATTAGACAACATCCCATGATTGTAGGAAATCATTAATTATCCATATTTAATTACATTGTAAAATTCCTTTTACGCCCTTATGGAATGAATGGTCTACGATTGTTCCTGCGTTCTCAACCTTTTATGTGTTCTCATTTGATCATCTCCTTATATATATATATATATATATATATATATATATATATATATATATATATATATATATATATACGGTCAAAAATCAACTAAGTAGAATATAACCAAATTCTATGAGAGGCTGGGATGTTCGTGTTTAATGACAATCAAAGTGACACAAGTGAGTTACAAGGAAAGCCTTTGATTCTTGATATGATATCCGACATAAACAATTGGGAGACCATAATAATTACATGTCTTAATGATTTAATTGATGTAAAAATGTTGAATACAAAGATGAGTGTGTAAATTTATGTACAAGTATCATGGATGAGCTAAATGTGTCGCTAGTGTGCTAGTGACATGTGTTATTTATAGTCTAATGTTAATAACAACAAGTCCGATAATTTGGGGTCCTCTAGAATGAGCATATGAACGTTATTTGACTTGGTATTCCGGGTGTTTTTCTTGGTTGAAATGACTCCTCGTTGAGAATGAGTCTTGTGTTGACTTTTTCTGCACATGTGAAAAAAATAACGAAAAGATAGTTGTTACAAATGTTAGAAATGTTAGTGATAATAGTTAGGATCTTAGGATTTGTTTAAGGATCCTAAGGCTTTGAGGATCCTGAATATGAGTGAAGGATCCTGTCCCTAACAATTACCCCTAAATTATACCTATAAAACACTACGATTAGTTTTCCATATTAAAGGTATAATCTAAAAATAATAAACGAAAGAGAAAAGATTTTGAATTTTAAACCCTAATCGGATAGGGTTTATCTGCCCAAGGTTAATCTTCATGTACCCTCTTTCCTCCGTTATTGGGTTAAATAGAGCAATCATCTTAACTCTTTTTACCATTCTTAACATGTCTTCGGCTACCTTGTTAGGTAATTTATTCCCTTTGTTCTTCCTTTTGTACTTTCCCTTTCTTCGATCATGGGCAATAAGATAGCTCATTCTTGCGCTAGCATTATCGCTCCTCCAGAGAATGACTTTCTCGACCAGGGGCTTCTATCCCATGATCAGGTTTGTTCTTTCAACGATAAGGGCATGTAGTCCCTTAGGACAAATTGAGATTTTCCCTATAATGCAATCTTTAGGTCCTTTGATCCGTCTTTTTAGACTGATTTTGTTTCTCTTAGCTACGTATGCTTTCCTGAATATCCATTTTCTCTTTGCCTCAAATACCTTTTTTCAGGTATTATTTCCGATTTCTTCCAAGTCACTAAGCTTTCCTATGTCCAAGAATTGCCCATTCTTTAGAGGATTTTGTACTAGATTGAGTGAGTGGGTCATTCCTACAATCTAGACATTAGCATTATTGAGTTAGCTTTCGTTTATGATCTCTCTACTTTTGGGATTTCTCGTTTTCTGTTTATGATTAAAACCAATAAATCTCCTTTTGTCTTGAAAACCAAACATAACAATGAATCCTGGAAGGAAAATTTATTGTTTATAAGGCGATATTTTATCGATGGTGGGGATCTCTTGCCTAAAGCTTTGGTAGAAAATGGTAGGATCTTATTTAATGATCTTGAGGATCCAAGGATTCACATTTATTATTTTGTTCATTTTGATACATGTTACAAGTTTGGTGAAGCTTTTCCTGCTGTTGGGGATATTGAAGACAAAGTGAGGCATTTTCTTGCTTTACCTGCAGACATCAGATCATTCAAACTCGAGTCTCCTACTCTTTAATAGGATTCTTCTACCATAGCTTTGATGGCTACTGGTAAGGATCATTCTTAGTGTTTTTATTAAATTTATCTTAAGCATCCTATACTTATGGGGATCCTTCTTAATCTGTAGGATCCAAAAACACTCGCTCTAGTGCCCGATTTGTGTTGTCTAAACTTGAAGAAGACATGCCTAGTGGTTTACTCATGGTAAATAAGGAAAAGATCCCTCATTCGCTTGTTTCAAGAAGACTTAGAGTGACCTCACTGTGAAGTCCCCAACATCTCGCAAGAGAAAAATATCTGATGCTTGGGTTCTTACAAATGTCAAGATAGAGGAGGCATTAAAGAAGTTGATATCCTTCTCCCAATCTGTGAGCATTCTTGTGTTCTTTTTCTTTCAGTTTAATTATCTATTTATCGTGGTTCCTCTTAGGTTATTGATCATGTCTCTCGCTCTGGTGAGGATCTCAAAGCCAAACTCACTCAAATAGAGCATGCTTTGAAGGAACAAGAAGGATTCAATAAGGAGCTCCATCAGAGAGTGGGGAAGTTTTCCACGGGGAAGGCTAAGAAGGAAAAGGAACATGTGGCTGAGATGGACGACGTAATTGCTGAAGTGACGATGAGTGTGGCTGTTGTTATCTAGGAAGCAAAGATCAAGCTTGCAGAGGACGTGGCCAATAAAGGATTCTAGAATTTGGCTAGCTGGCATGAAGCTTTAGCAAAACTAACTAGTAAGCCTATTAGTACCAATCAAGATCCTAAATGGAAACAACAGAAGGTGGGTGAAGAGGAGAAGCTATCGGGTGATGATAACCAATCCATGATTTAGTCCTCTTTAGAAAAAAACATTTTAAATGGTTTTTGTTTGGGGATGTAAGACAATTAAGAACTTTGTTTTTGTGGGGTTGGTGTGCAACCCATATAATGATATGGTTGTTTTATATTTATATCTGCATGGTTGACTTATATGCTTGTTATGATTGTAGATCTTCTAAGGATCCTTACCTAATAGAATCCTAAAAAGTAACAGCTCTTAATATTTGAATACCCTAAATAGGTTAGTAATCAACTTGGAATCTTAAAATAGTTAAGATCTTAATCGTTATGCATAAAAAATTAAATTTAAAGGATAGATAGAACCTAACTATCCTCAGGCTTTGTGACCTTTATATTTAAGAGAGTTCCTTTAGTATTATACGAGAAGATCCTTGCATTAAGAGTTCATCATGGAGGATCCTTGATTGGCCCTAAATCAGTGAGCTTTGGAAGGATCCCTTCTTAGGAATCAATTGGAAATAACTTCAACTTGGAAAATACCTGAGAAAAACTATTCTTTTGCTATGTGATAATGCTTTAAACCTTCCACGTTTTTTAGGGTATATCCCAACTTTAGACAACATGTTGGTGTCATAACTCTTTGAAAATCTCAGTGAAAAATCCTAACCTGAGATAACACATAAGTGCTACAATCTTTAGTAAATTACTGGTGAAATCCCAATTCAAGGTAACATGCTAATGTTACAAATCTCGGTAAATTACTAAGGAAGATCCGATTTCGTATGATAACATGTCAATGTTATGAACCTTAGAAAGTTTTCTGAGGGATATCCCAACTTGAAATAACATTATGTTATAAACCTTATGTGTTTTTTTGGTGAAGATCCCAAGTTAAGATAGCATGTCAATGTTATAAACCTTATATTCAAACTTTATGATCTTAACTTATGTTCAGAAATAAGAGGGTTGCCAAGTCACTGCAGCGTAAAGTGATCCTTTTATTCACATCCCATAGCTTGATATCGTGCATCCAAGTGAGGTGTAGAAAGCTTAACTCGTATGAAAAACGTAATTAACTCTTTAAACCTTAGAGAGGATTAAGTACCCTTATTCATAGGAGTGATGATTAGTCTTCATTTGTAGTTACTATGGCATTTTCGTATTGTAATCTTGATGATCTTAGAATGTTGCAGATCCTTGGATATCAGGATCCTTGGATTTCTATATGCACCAAACATTAGCTTGGGTTGGGCATTAATCTAGGTAACACCACTCTGATGCTTAAGTTAGTA